AATCTGAACAACAACAACAAAAACAATCTGAACAACAACCACAACAACAAGAAAAACAACCACAACCAGAAAAACCACCATCAAACACATCTGAACCTATTGGATCTGTACAAGTTACTTCTGAACCTATAAAAGTTACATCTGATCCTATTGCATTTGAACTACTTACATCTGATCCACCTACATCAGAATCACCTACATCTGAACCCTCATCAAAACCTTCTGAGAATCCATCAGAATCAACCAACCCATCTGAAACCCATATCCCTGAGACAGAGGTTCTAAATGTTACACCTCTCAAAACTGTTTTTGAAGTGTCCTCTACCTCTTACACTTCAACCACATCATCAAACTCATCAGAATCTGATATACACCCAGATTTTCTGGTATCTCCCTCTCACAGAAATTCTGAAGTAAACCAACCAGAACCACCTATTTCTTCTGAAATTATCATTCAAAATCCTACTCCAACACTTAAGCCATCTTCTGAAATTCCCATTCCCAATCCTACCCATACACCCAAGCCAAGAACATCTGAGCTTGTACCCTCTACTTCGTGCAAACTGTTTTCCTCTAACAAACTTCCCTCTGGTTTCACCTTAAAACATTTTTACACCAGAATTGAACCATCTGACACTATCACTCCTCTTAAACCCAAACTTACCATCATTTTACCTTCTGTTCTTCAAACGTACATTAAAATAATGCCAGCAGTAACTTCATTAGATCCAAAACCATATTCTGCTAAATCTGCTAAATCTGCATTCAAACCTTACTCTGATAAACCATTTGATGTTGTTTCCCATGCATCAACTGTAAAACCATGTCTGTTGAATGCTTTAACTAGATCAAAACCTGGCAATTCATCTGAACCTCCATTCATACCATACTACCCTCCTCCTATGATCACCATTCATAAATCCATCTTTCCACCTTCTCCCCAACCCAGGCCAATAACATTGGAAACTCTTTTACACCCAAGACCTAGACTGAATGTTGATCATTTATTTACAAGTTTTTTGCAAGAAATACAGATGTATTTAGGATCTGTACAGAGGAAGTGTTCATCAACAATGGATGCAAGTGAATCTGATGCCATTTGGAATGGCTTCATAAACAGATTCAATACTGTAGCATCAAATATGAAGAACGTATGTTCTGATGATGTGAAGCTCAGATTTGCTGAAACTGCTAGAAGTCTGTTCTGGACTGTTAAGAGATCTGGACCATTGCTTCTTACAGATGCTCCCTCATCATCAGAAGAGAATACTGAATCTGCATCTGAAGACAATCCTCTTGCTATGACTCTGGTAGAACATCCTTCTGGATCTACTGCTCCCAACTCCAAAGCCCCTATTGAAATTGACTCTGTTCAAGCTTCAGAAACTGTCCCACCTTCTTCATCTGAGATCAAGAAAGAGTATCCAGATCTTGAAGATAAGATTGCAGTTCTGGAAGCTGGTCAATCAGAAATCAAGTCATGGATGGCTAAGCAAGATAAGAAGTCTGAAGACATGGCTCAGTGGATGTCCAAACAAGATCAGAAGAATGAAACAATGGCTAAGTGGATGTCAAAACAAGAACAGTTTTCTTCTGAGATCACGGATCTGTTGAAGATGCTTTTGTCAAAACAATCTTAGTTTACTTATTTTTTTTTTCTTCTGATGTTTGCATCTAATGTTTGCACATGTACTTGAATATTTTCTGTTGTTTGTACTTTTTGCTCTGAATGAATGAATGTTTCAAAGTTTTCTCCACATGATTTATCTCGTTTATTTTTTCCTTTTCTTTGTCTTTTCAAAGTTCTTACTTTTTGCTTATGACAAAAAAGGGGGAGAAAATAGATCTGAACTGTTTAATTATACTTTACCAAAATGAAACTTCAGACATATAAATTTTATCTAACATAATATCTGAGTATTTCAGAATATTTGATAAGTATACTCTGTAAAAGAAACTCTGAGACTCTCAGATCATTTGACAATCATCAGACTCAGACTCTGAAATATGCAAGACACTCTGACCCTCAAATGGTTAAGAACAATCAAGCTCTAACTCTGAAAAATACTCAAGACAAAAGGGAAGTTTCTATTCCTTATTTATATTTAATTCAGGGGGAGATTCATCATCTCAGGGGGAGTTATAATTATTCTATTTTCAATTAAAAAAAATTTCTGATGTTTTTGTCATCATCAAAAAGGGGGAGATTGTTAGAACACAGATTGGTTCTTAATAATATCTCTATGTTTTGATGATAACTATTATGAAATTTTGTAATTAAGAATTATATACTCTAAAATTTGCTTAAGAATGTTTGCTGCAGATATTAAAGTAAATATCACTCCAGAAGCAAATCAGATCTGAACATAAGAAATATGCAAAGCTCTGAAGCGTCAGATGCACTCATTAGAAGATTCTGAATGCTGCCATCAGATGATCCTAAGCGTTGTCTCCAGAAGGATTTGAAGCAGAAGCTCCAGAAGAATCTGAAGCAAGACAGAAGCATCTGAACCAAAGAAGAATTCTGTATGAAGAGTTTTCAAGCATAGTTACTTCAGAAGACTCTGAGAGTACTAACACTACCAGTACTGAGGATCTGACTCAAAACTCTGCTCTGAACTTATACACGCTAAAAGCACACTTGCTGCAAAGACTCTGATTCAGCAAAACTCTGATCAACATCAGAAGGCTCTGATCAAATTAGACTCTGATGATTCTTGCTGAAAATTGTTGAAGAAGAATTCAAAGATTATGTCCGTTGGAATATCCAAACGACTCTTTCCTTATTTATGCTAGACACAAGAACACAGACAAAAAGGATTTCTCTGTGCTTTCTTCTTCTAGGAAAGGTCACTTGATGTGAAGACAAAAAGGCTCAGACCTTTTGGTACACTCTTCTCAACGTGAAATACTCTTGGATCACTGTGCCTATAAAAGCAAGTCTCCACCCATCTTCTTCAGTTGACGTTTTACTTGAAAAGAATTCATTATCAAAGCTCTCATACAAATCATATTCTTTCTAGAATTAATTTCTTTGTTCTTAATCTTAAGTGAAAAATCACAGTTGTGATAAAGCTTTATTAGAAGCATTTTAACACTTGTATTTGTTATTACATTTGATTGTAAGAAAACCTTAAGAAGATCCAGTTAGGATCAGTAGTTCTTGAGAAGACTTTGAACAGTTGTTCTTAGTGCTTACTATTGTAATCAGTTGATTAAATAGTGGATTAAGTCCTTGTTTGAGAAAGGCAAATCACTCTAGGAAGGGTGGACTGGAGTAGTTGAGTTCAACGAACCAGGATAAAAATACTTGAGTTTTTATTACTAAGTTTTTATCTTCATACTTATTCAACCCCCCTTCTAAGTATTTTCTCACCTTCAACGCCTTCATCTAGTTTATCAGCAACACCACACATGAAATATATTCTCAGACAACTTCATCTTCCTTCATCTGAGTCATCTAAAATTACTTTCTCAACATCTACAACTTCACCCATTTCAGTTGTTTAGCTTTGTTGTACAATTTCTTTAACTTGTCACTGCTCCTTTTGTCGTTTCTTCTTCAATTATATTATTAAACATGTTAGGATCCACACACTGGTGAATCAAGAACATAACTTTTCCATTTTTCTTCCTTTGACCCTTGTGCGCAGCTTTCTGAACATCATTTGCATCCGCTTCCAATGTCATTACTCAATCATTCACGATTTCAGACACATCTTGAAATGTGAAGATGACCTTCATCTGTGCAACTCACCATTCGTAGTTCTCACCTTTGATAATCGGTAGATTAGCTGGAAATTGCTTTGATGTTGTTGATCTGTTTTCCATTACAGATTCTATCTGAATCGCAACCCGGATTCTTTGATACCAATTTGTTGGAACAAAAGGATTTTCAAAAAAGATGGGAGAAGAAGAAGAGAGAAAAGAGGGAGAAACTGAATTGTAAAAGAGAAAATGTTATTGAATAAACCGATTAGGATTTACACTCTACAATATCTTTATATAGACAACTAAAGCTCATACCCAAAACTATACAAAATGACGCAAACCCAAAATATACAAATTATATTTTGGCTTCGACACGACAACTTAAATGTTGTATTCAACTCAATAGAATACAGGTGACTCTACACCTTCAACTAGCTACTTTTTAACATAGTTGAATTCTAACTTTCGATAAAACATTAATTACAACTTCTAACAAAAAAAAAAAAATCTTCTTAAGCCATTAACAATATTTCCTCTTCCTCATCAAACTGACATCCATTTTGATAATTTTCTAATTTGTGTCATTTGTAGCATCCTACATGATTTTTTTTGCCTTCCACAACTTCGTTCTCTTAAGTGTGTGACCCCTGCAACAACCATTTACTCTACCATAATTCAAAATCTTTAGGGTTTTATCCTTCTATGTGACTCCTCATCTGTTTCTCATGAACAAGTAAAACATTTTGTACCTCATCAACTCACAATATTGTGAGATCATTGGTTTCTTCAATGGAACACGTCACTTAGTCGTATTTCAACATCATCCACCTAAACAATTTCTCAATTTTCACAATTTGATCCATATCCTCACCTTTAGTCTTCATATTTGTAATTGCAAAAGTTTAGGAAAAGTAATCATACACACAACCACCTTCCATCATTCTAAGAATCTCAATTTCATTGCAAAGGCTTAGCAAATGTGCCTCTTAAACTTGGTAGAGCCCTAATATTTCATGTGCATGTACTCCCAAATAAGATGAATCTTGAACAAACCTATAACAAACTTCACCACCAGAAAGAAAGAAAAAATGCAGTTTTTTTGTTTAACCAAACCCTGTGTGGGCCTCTTATACCAATTGTAATGTACATTTATAAAACAAAACATTTATAAAAGAAAACACATATGTTCATGTACATGTAAAATGTATAGAGATAGCTATTGTGTCATTTCTTGACTTACAAGTAAAATAAAATGTCAGAAACATAAATTTCCTATATCTTTCTAATTCTCATACATAATGATCAAATTTGATCTCAACAGGTACACTCATCTTCTTATCTCTTATAGCCAACAAGTCTTCATTATCACCATTCAAGTAACCTTTCAAGAATGCAACCATAACTCCTCCAACAAACGTCCTCATAGGTTTCCTTGACTCTCCATTCTTACACAAACAATAACTAGCTTTCCCTCTAATTCCTTTTGTCTCATCATCCAACATATCCACATGACCATAATCCTTAGCCACAAAATACCAACAAGGTTTGTTACATTCACTAAAAAAATTCTCATGGTTAACACCTTTAGGTGCACAAGGAGGGAACAAAGGGTTCCTTTTCACATCCCCTAAACCAGAACCTATAACCAATGTTGCCATATCGAAGTCAAACGAATGAGGAACATAAGTGAGAATTGGTGGCGATGTTTGCTTTCCTATATCCATTCCATCAACTGGATCAACTCCTATTATGGCTGAAAACTTTAGATCAGTTGTGATGTTTAGTTTTCTTAGAGCTATTGCAAATGATGTCTTGCCGCCGCGACTATGGCCGCCGAGGGCTAACTTGTGAAAATTAGGTTCTATGTTTGGTGGAAGAATCTTGCAAAGTCCTTCTGATAGCCAGTTTGTTATTGCAGCCACTGAATATATCTCATCACTTATATCAGGTCCAGCCACTGTATACAACTAAGTGCAAAAAAAAATTAATATTTCTTTTAAAAAATCACTATTTTTAAACTATAAAAAAAGGTGCAATGGGAACTAACTTGAGGAGCAATGACAATGAAGCCATGAGAAGCCACATGTTGAATAAGCTGAGAATAAAATGAGTTTAGAAGAACATATCCATGAAGAAAAAGTAGAATTGGGAACTCTCCACCTTCAACAGGAGTTGCAATCAAAAGAGATTTCGGTGGTGGAGCTGATTAACATGTATAGAAAAAATTAGTAAAAAAACTATGATTAAGTAAAGGAGATCTTATAATAGAAGAGTTGATTAGAATTGTACCATGTTGTTTATATGAACAAGAATCAACAGTTTGTAGCTGAGTGGTGTATTTGCCAGTCTCAAAGACATTGGTAACAGATGAACACATGAGTGATGATAATAGTGGAGCCAAGTGTTGTTACTTTTTGGTGAAGAATGTGATGATGATGATAAGATAAATATGTGGTGTGGCTTTTATATAGTATGGTTTAATTGGATATTTTGGTTAAAAGATGTTTGTGATATTTAGGAAATGTTTTTTTGCTGGACTTTATATAGTAAATAAAAGGCCCAATAAGATTTTGGAGGGCTTGAATGAATTAGTGTTTGATACAAATATGTAATCTAATTGTATTATCCTATTAGTCAATGATGGAAAAGTTGAATCTAATTAATAACACTATTATGAATTCCCATTTCTATTATGCACATAATTCCTAATCTTTGTAAATTTCTCAGCAAAATAATTTTTTCTAAGGTATAATTTTTTGTTTGGATAACTCTCTCAATTTAAAGTAGCTTATAAATTTCAAAGGCCTCCTGGTCAGATACTTTAATGAAAAAAAAGTATTTACACAAATATTTCACCGTCTAAGTTCATAACTATATGGACATTATTTTATACTAAGTTGTCTAGTATTTACAACTTGTGCTCTATAGGTTGTGCCATTATTTCCAAATGTGATGTTTGTGGTACTATCCTGGAATCACCTTTACATCTTTTATGATTGTGTCCTTTTGGTCAACAACTTTAGAATTGGCTACAAAATATCATTGTCATTTCTATTGACATAAGTTTTATGCACCATAACCTTAAATCTTATGACAAACTTGTTTTGGCTAATGCAAACTTGTCATCCATAGTGTTATCATTAACATATTTAACACTTTGATTTTGTAGGAACAATTTCAGATTTCAAGGTAAAAAATATATTAGGTATCTGATGCTCCTAACATGACACAATTTATGATTGTTAAATTTGTTGAGGTAAAGATGCATCCTCTTAAGTGTCATAAAGTCAAAGAGATCTTGGGGCACCCTCCTATAATATATTGGATAAAATGCAAATCAGATGGATCAAGCAGTGTTGTCATTGCATCTAGTATATTTGCTTTCAGATACCATTACGTTAACTTTTTAGCTTGTTATGCGTCCAATATTAGCATTTCCTTTGCTCTTTATTCAGAGTTGATGAAGACTATTTTAACTATTGTAACTGTTTTTGCTAAAACTTGACATAATATTGGCAATAAACTGATTCAAAGCTTGTTACATTACCTTTCAAGATACCTCACGTTATTCTCTAAGCCCTTCAATATAGATGGAGAAATTGCATGTTTTGTATTTCTCAAATGCATTTTAAATTTTTCGAGAGGGAAAGTGTTGTGGGTTGATAAAATGGTCAACATTGGTTTCTCGGTTACTAACTATACTTGGTGAAATAATTTGTCTAACTTTATTCGGAATGATTTGAATCATAATATGAATTTTTTATCCAAATAACTCAAATTTTAAAAAAAAATTATAAAATAACCCACATACAAAATCATTTCCAAAGTACCTCAGTTAGGATTTGGGATTACACAAGGGAGTCAGATAAATTGGCGACACCTTGTTAAGGCTATAAGGGAGTTGCCAATTGGTTTGGAGATTTCTCATACAGTCTCCAATCCAATTGACGACTGGGTGTTGTACTTACAAGGGTGTCGCCAATTCATCTGGAGATCCCTTGTATTTTGAATTTTTTTCTCTAAATAGAGGTGTTATAATCATTTACTTCCACATTTCATCTGATCTTTGTTCTACTGATAACATGTATCGTCGCCGGTGGGAAAAAGTTGTCTATTCGAGAGAAGCCTCCGATGGACATGTTATTTTGGAACATACAAAGTTTCAATCAACTTAAGAGAAAGTTGAATCGGTGTTTGGAAGGAGACGTTGGTGAAGGAGAAAAGATTCGTAGTATCGAGAGACTTGATCGGCTGCGTGGATGGGTTCGTGTTAAGACAGACAAAGATGCGAGGGAAGTCATGTTTGGACTGAATGAAATTAGTTTGATTGATGTAATCAGTTAGAAATGTCGTAATTACCTAGTTAATATTTTATGTTTTATGAAATTAGTATGTGTTGTGTGTTGTTAGTCTTGTTTGTTGTTAAGACCGTTGTAACAAAGACTCATTAATATATGAAAATATTTGGTTACAAAAATGAAATGATAAGCTAAATCATGATGCAGACGTGCCTCCGACATTGGGACATTTTTTTCGGTTGTGTCCGGACTGACGACATATACTGCACAATCTTATCATTTTATCAGTCGTATCCATTTCGGTTCTTATACGTTTACTGTTTGAGTGTCCCTTTTTCTTTCTTCTCATGTCATCGTTGTGCCAAACTATGGAGGCCAATAATCCTACATTGGTAGCACTGCGAAGCCTTCGCTGTATACGTTCATAACATTAATCGCCTTGTAGACATCAGATAGATATCCATAAGCATCCTGACGAGCATGTGCGCATGCCACAATGACATGTGACCAAGGTACACGGAAGGCCTGATACTTGCCACAGTCACACCAACATCTGTTTAGTCTGACGACATATGATAAATTGGGCCTCCCCTTATTATGGTCCATTGTTTCCTGTACACTGAATGTTTGCCTATGATGTTCGAAGAGTATAACTGCATGTGTGCTGGCTCTGATAGTATCCTCTTTCATCAATTTTATAATGCTTTCACTGAATACCTGACCGGACGTTAACACTGCACTCCATCTCTCGCCTCTTGTTGCGAAAAGTGATGCCAACCTATAATGTGTTGATCTCACCAAAGCGGTGATTGAAAGGTTTCTAATTACTTTGAATACCCCGTTCATGGATTCCACAAGGTTTTTCGTCATGTGGCCCCAACAACATCCACCATCAAAAGCCCTTGTCCACTTTTCGAGTGGAATGTTGTCTAACCAGCTTCCTGCATCTGCATTTGACATCCTAATTTCATTAAGGTAGTATTGAAATGTTGGTTGAGTTAGAGCATATTCGACATTCACAACTTTTTTGCGAAGGTTCTTGTCTTTGATTGCACGCATGAAGTTTTGTGCAATATGTCTAATGCAATACACATGGGTAGAAGGAGGATTATGCCACCCGTTATCATGATTATTGTACGCACTCTCTATAGCAGCATGCCTGTCTGAAATCAAACAGGTTGGCTTGTGGAGCGACATGTGTTTTGAGATTCTTAAGGAAGAAACTCCAAGTAGAAGCAGTCTCACCCTCAACTAGAGCAAAGGATATGGGAAAGACATTATTGTTACCGTCTTGTGCAACAATCATAAGCAAGGTTGTTGAAGCGGTAAAGCAGCAAGCAAAAATATTAAGTACCCAGTTTTGTCGTCTCCACAGGGATCGGTGTGATGAATGAACTTTGTCCAACGATCTCCACATTTCTAAGCTTGTTGTTCAAAAGGTTTGGTTTAAAAGGTTCAAGGAACCATGAATAAAAGGAAAAAAATATAAAGACGAAAAATATAGAGTAAAGGGTGAAATATAAACGGAGCCTTGTTGGGATTGGATCTCATCAATTGATAACACTTGCATTCTTCTGATCATGTTAAACACAACTCAATCATTCGTCTAATATCCTCACGTATCACCCACGACAGAGGTCATCTCTAACGCAACGTCGAGAGAACAACTGTGTTGTCTCACACAACAAAAACACAACATAGAGCATTAAGAACTGATACTCATGCAAATGCTAAGCCTAGATCTATGTCTAAAGTTTAGGACCTAACAGGTAATCATCCCAGATCCAGATCTGAAGAGTACATGTATATAGTGGTTCAAATCAAAGATAAACAGGTAAACAAAGATGACACCCATATCAGATAAATGATTGCTTTATATAAAACACAATGATCAGAATACGTACATACACGTAACCCTTTTTACATGTATTCACCTAATCTGCCAAATGGTTGTGAACATCGTTCTTCATCACTATTATCACGCACCTGCACAATATCGTATTGATCCTACTCATGCTACTTATGCTACTTAATCAACACAAAAAATAGAATATACAATGAATATCAACTTACAAAACCATGTCAAAAGTTTGTTCATTGATAGATGAAAATCTTAGATCAAAGATGTGAAAAGGTTTTGTCAAGACCCACAAATAAGCAATCAAAGATAATCAATCAATAGAGAATCCAAACTAGCTCACAAAAATATATTAGATGAAATACATAAGGTATCAAAAGATTACATTCAAACCCCAACAAGAGATCAAAGATCTTACCTCTTCCCTCTTAGGGTTTTGTATTTCTCTCTCTAAAATAAACTTGGAATGAAGAGAGATAAGTTCTAATGTAAAAAATATTACATGCCCACCTAAAAAGCAAGAAAAATACTTATATAGTACATTTAGGATCTGTCGTGTTCGCACTATGAACAGATCCTTCACCTAGCGAATAGAAAATTAGGCACCTGAGGCGCCTCTGAACAGTTAAACCGCCCTTGAGAAATATCTGAAGTTCGCTGCGCGAGCAATTCCTAGCATTGCAAAGCCTTCGCTAGCTTCTTCACACAGCGAGTTTCAATCTCTTTTCTCTCTGAGTGAACAGTAGCCAGTGCCCTAAGGGTCTTCGCTGGCAAGTTCGCTGTATGAAGTTGGTGATGATTTTTCTGGGGAAGTTCGCTGGGAGCTTCGCACGGCGAGTTTTATGATGTTTTTCTGCTGTCTTGGTTTCCTTGCCCAATTTCTTGTGTCTTAATCTTCACTTGTTTTGTGCCTAATTCCTGCACAATAGCACACAAATCAAAGCAACCAAGACATTTTCAAATAATGAAGTATATCATAGAAAACATAGGTGATTTAATTCAATTCACCTACAAAAAGAATGAAAGATGCCAACATTTGATAGATCAAATAAGAAAAGTTTGGCATCTAACAAAGGTGCCCTTGTATTTTTCGTAGAGCCATGTTCTATCAATTTGAATAACAGGTTTGCAGAATGCAAAACCTCTTATGCAAAACCTCTTATCATTTCATTTGTTGTAACCAAATATTTTCATATATTGATGAGTCTTTGTTACAACGGT